AACTGTGAGCAATTTCTACAAAACCATTACTACCTTTCTTTACCCAAACATAGGCCTAACCCTTTTTCTGAAAACCACACAAATTTCCTCAATGTAAATAAAGAATTACAATAGTATATTTCATCACGTGAAGACAAGAGTTCAACAAGAGCAGAAACCGATTAAATCAATCGATACCGGTATGCCTCTATCATTTCGATTCATGAGATTACTAACAATCGAAGTTTACAACAGCTAAACTTTCATCCCTAGGGGCTACAAAAAGGCTTTTACTCCCTAGAGCTACTATATACCATAGATTAAAAGAAGTAGACTCCTTTTATCTATGTCTATACCCACAATGGAAATGTTAAAAACAGCTGTTTTATGCTGCGTTATGACAAAAACATCTTTTTCCTACAGTCACCCGACCAAGTTGGCTTCCTTGTACTGTTAGTAGTACAGAAAGCTGCTAATTGCTGCATATTTATACTTTGTCGTACGGTTTATACTTTGGCGCACATCAGGATTCCAACGAAACAACACAAAACAGCGTGGTTCTATTATGCACGTAATCCGTGTACGTTTGGAAATAGGTTGGCAACACTTAAAGATAATAATACTATGAGCAGCTGATTGACTATTATAACTACGATTTAACCTGTCATTTCGTGTTTATCATTTCGGTATTTCTGAACTTTCTGGACTTTTCTTTTAAACGTTTTTAAAACATTCCTACGATCTTAATAAACAAGAAAATACCTTTAAAGTATTTTTTCAGGCGCGGAAACCACTTCAAATTACAAAAACATACGGAACTATATTCTCAAGTCGCGGAGCACATTTCTTGCCGAGGAAAAATAGCCGAGTGATACGGACCGGGTACTACTTTCTCTAGGGCACCTATTTGTGTTGCGAGCTGTACCTAAAATCGTGTTGTATAGTGTTTGAAAGACTAATTATTTATATGCACTAGTTACACAAATAACTATTTCATGTAAATAAACATGACACAAACATCCAGTCAATTATTGCATAGACCAGCTGTTTCATTTAATTTACAACCCATAAACATAAAATTTTACGATTTCTTTCCAAACCATTTCATCAAGTTTGATTTTGTAGAGCTTAAAAAAGAAATAATTTAGTTCATTGGAACGTTTGGGACCAAGCCTTGTTCGGTTGTGTTAATTGGGTTTAACAGTTAAAATAATATCATGATAAGACACATTTTATCATTTACAAAAATAGTTTTATTGCAAACCAAAAACACACTTAATCGCTTAAATAATATCAACTGTGTAATGTGCGTCTGTTTACTCCAGTTTCATATATCGTAGCATTTAGATTATTTGCAACATTTCGTTTTAATATTAAGGACTGACACAACTGGACACTTACATAAACTGCAAGCTCATAGTTTTTGACGTTTTGAATATATAATGGGCAGCAATAATGAAATTCTACGGAATAGTTGCTACCTATAGGCTACGGGGAGTAGGGGACCACCCCTTCCTCGAGGATGAAAGTGGATCGAATTGAAATTGAGGTACTCATTAAAATTAATAATATTTAAATAGGAAATAACTTATCTATAAATTAGTTCAATTTATCTATTTGTAGAGCATCATATCACTTTCTTACAATTTCCATATTGGTTGTTTTTGTTGGGTCAAACCCTTAATTTACAAATTGGTTTAGCTAATAGAACGGTATTGCTGACAATAAATAAATTATAATTTATCCGTAAAGCCAAAATCTGTCTAGATTATAAAGATGGCTAAATATATGTTTCGAAACTTCTGTATAAAAGCAACGTTCGTAATGGTGGAGATTGTTCCAACTATATTTTTCTAGAAGCAACGATATGACTCATTTAAACGAGTGATTGTGATTGATAGATTCTTAATTATTGAAGGCTGGCTGACATCTGTTGTGAAGCTGATACTGACTGACGCTCAGTCAACATGTAGCTGAAGAAGTGTTGTGCAATCCAGTCACAAGGAGCGTTGGTTAAACAGTCAACTCTAAACTAATATAAAACAATGACCAAGCTTCAAGTCTTTAATTCAATCAAGTTAAATAAAGTCTTCAATCGCTAAATCCTGCACTAAAATGGATACAAATTATAAGATTGAAAAGCATTGTGGCAAAAATTTGAAAATTACTTAACTGTTGACAAGACTAAACTGACTTTATAAATAAATCAATTTCATCAAAGATATCTTGTACGGTACGTATCGAATATACTATCAAATTGACAATTTTGTCATTGTTGTCATTGCCAAAATGTCACATTTTTCATTTAACACAAAACTACATTCCTAATAAAAAGGAGTCAATACCGATAGTTACGGCTAGAATATTAATCAAATGAAATGACTCTGATAACTACACGGCAGCGCAGAAACACTTTACTTAAGTCACCCGACAAAGTGGATAGTACAGAAAGCCTTACTTTGGCGCACAGTTTTTACTTTGGTGTACTGTTTTTACTTTGGCGCACACCAGTATTCCAACCAAACGACGCAAAAGAGCGTGCTTTTATTATGCACGAAATCCGTGTACGCTTGAAAATGTGTTAGCATGATATTACGACTAAGATCAGCCGGTGCAGCGTTTCCCATTTCGTTCAAGTCTTTTACCAGTTATGTCCAAGGTGTTTGAAAAACCTCTTCTGAAAAGGATTCAAGCGCTAATTGACAATTATGTGATTCCTGCGCATCAGTTTGGTTTCAGACGGAAACACAGTACCACAGAACAGGTTCACTGAGTTGTTGAAGTGTTACGTAAATGTATGGAAAATTAAGAATTTTGCTCAGCTGCCTTCTTAGATGTTAGTCAGGCATTCGATAAGGTGTGGCAAGTCGGCTTATTATATAAAGTAAAAATGTTTTTACCTCATTCAATCTTTACCGTTTTGAAATCTTACCTTCAAAACATAGGACTTTCCAAATTAAATATGAAGATGTTCTTACCGGCCTGGATCCAATTGAATCTGGGATTCCTCAAGGAAGTGTCCTCGGGCCCTTTTGTATATTCTATACACAGCAGACCTCCCTGAAAATGAGTTGGTAGAAATTGCTAAATTTGCGGATGATACAGCAATTTTGACCGTTCATCGTGATCCAGTTCAAGATTCTCTGAATTTACAGCAAAAACTCAACATAATTACTGATTGGTTTAAAACATGGAAATTCAAAATTAATGAAACTAAATCTGTTCATCTTTCTTAGACTGATTGCTTTAAAACATGGATATTAAAAAATAATGAAACTAAACCTGTTGACCTTTCTTTTACTCTAAATCGAAATTCTTGTCTTACTGTCACAATAAACAACACCCAACTTCTTGAAGCAAATGAAGTTAAATACTTGGGTATCCATTTATATAAGAAATTAACATGGAAAATACACACTTGGAGAAAACGGCAACAACTAAATTTAAAATCTAATCAGTTAAATTGGCTGATTGGAAGAAAATCAAAACTTAGTCTAGCATATAAATTATTGTTATATAAAACTATATTGAAACCAATATGGACATACGGAGTGCAACTATGGGGCTCGGCGAGTACTTCAAATATAGAAATTATCCAAAAATACTAATCGACAATGCTGAAGAAGATAACAAATGCACCTTGGTATGTCACCAATAGAACACTACATCAAGACCTTAAGTTGCCTACAGTTAAGGACAAAATCATGACCTTAAGTGAAAGATATAATACGAAATTAGAATCTCATCAAAATCATTTAGCATTGAACTTACTCAAAAACACGGATACAATTTACAGACTAAATTCTGGACCTGCCCTTTAGATTTGTCGGATGTGATTTTTGTTGAAGAATATTTGTTGTTGACAGTGCCTAGCAGCTATTTTAATGTTCAAAAATTACTTTGTTTTATTATATGGCATTTACTTATTGTTTAACATATTTAAAGAACAGATTTTAAAGTAAATAAATTAAGAAAATAAAAATTAAAAAAAGTTTGGATTTAACCTAAACTAAAAACGTGCTGTACAGTGTTTGAATATGATTTATAGTAACTGTAGGAAAAATATCATATGTAACACGAGTGTTAACTAATGACTATTTTCTACAGTCACCTGACGAAGTTGCCTTCCTTGCACTGATTATAGTAGCAAAGTAGCTAATTGCTGCATTTTCTTCATTTTCTTACTTATGGCGTACTCCAGTATTCCAACCAAACGACACAAAACAGATAAATGGTTAGGTACGTTATACGGGCCTTGGTTGTATGCGTATGCTTGAAAATAATTTGGCACCCCCTAAAGATACTACCACTATGATCAGCTTGGTGCAGTGTTTCCTATTTTGTTCAACGATTGGATTTGACCTAACCTAAAACGTGTTGTTTAGTGTTTGAAAGACTAATTATGTTTATGCTTTATAGTAACTGTATGAAAAATATAATGTAAAACACGAGTGCAAAGTGTCATTTCACACACTAGCTACACAAACAACTATTGAAGATAGTGTTAGCATTGACTGTATTCAATTGTGTTAGAGCGGAAGAATTATGAATTCTGAGATGACGTTCAGACATTGAGATATTTTAATGCTGTTATGTGTTACTGTACTTGCAACCTCAAATCACTATTAAGCTTGATGACATAAATCTTTTTATTTGTTTCCCGAAATGTAAATTTGGGTAAAATGTACATATTTCATAAAAAAAACTTTAGAGAGAAACACGTTTTATGACACGTTGTTATAGGAATTTATTTCGTCCATATCATATTCCTCATTGTTTAGCTTAAAATAATTGTTTCTTGGAAATAGGTATTTTACAAAATCCAGCATGTAATTCCGATGCTATGAATATGTATCACGCTCCGCAGTCCACATAATCAAAATAAACGGGTTTTATCAACTGTTTCCTTCGTCAATCATTATATACCAATAATAATGTTGCATCAATTTTTTATCCTCGAGTCAACAAATGAAACGAATGAATGCTTACACAGGTTAATATTTAGGGAACCATAATAACCATTATAACACTTAAGATATCTTTATTTTACAAATACATTGAAGTGTATGCTTCATTTCTCCACATGTTTTATTATCATGAGTCATAATCTTCGGTTTTGTATTAGGCATTGCAAGTAGATTTTGAAAGATGTTCTTTGTAACCGACTCCGAAGTTTGTTGGAGTTCCGTTATAATCCTGGATCAAGGCAGGTCCAGACGAACAGTCCCAAGTGTTCCAAACCCAAGCTATATAGTTGATATTCTTACTATCCAACCACTTCAGCAGTTTGTCAATGTAGTTATGTGTGCATCCGTGTTCCCCAATCTCACCGACGATCACCGGGTACTGCTCAGCTATCGGCGCTACTGTAGACTCCCAGCAGTTCTGGTTGTTGCACGCATTGTGGTCGTAACTGTGCCAAGCTGCCGCCATGTTGTTGGCCTCGTCATTTGGCTTGTAGGTTAGCCATTGGGAAAGGTCATTAGCCCATGCTATTCCACCGACCATTACAAGATTCTTGGCTCCCGTACTCCTCACTGCATTTACCAGTTCCTGCATTCCGGCAACTTCATATGCAAATCCTGTGCATGCGTTTCCTCCGTCCCTCCAGCATTGCCAAGCTTTAGATTTGTCGTTCATTACCTTTTCAGGGAACGGTTCGTTGAACAGGTCAAAGATTACTCCATTGTCGTTCTTGAATTCATTAGCAACAGATTTCCAAAACGTGGGAGCGTTCAGTCTATCTGGCATCGGTTTCTGGCACTTGGCTCTTTCATCAACACATTCTCCCTGGCCATCGCCTTTGTAAATACCATCGGTCCAGTGCAGATCCAAGACCACTTTGATATTGTTTTGTCTTAGACGTTTTACATAGTTGATTACTGCGTTTCTGTATTTATCTCCAGTATATTCGGCTTTGAAATTGTTCAAACCAAGCCAGCAGTCTTCGTTTAAGGGTATTCTAACTGCGTTAATGTTCCATGATTTCATGGTATTGACAGCGTTGTCGTCTAGTGGTCCTTCAGATATGCCTAAATCTTTGACGCAGCTATATTCGAATCCAGACCTGTTGACTCCTTTTAACTGGTTTTTACAAGACTTGGTCTTTCCTCCTGCTACTACGGGGCTTGTTGAAGAACTCGTTGGGTTTGAAGGATTAGATGAACTAGGGGAATGTGATGAGCCTGATGAGTTTGGATTTGGCACAAAAATATACTGGCCATTCTTTGTGGGTATGGCCGGAACTTCAGGTGTCTGTTTAAGTAGCTTCTTTGCAGCCTCGTCGTCACTTCCTGCTAATGCAGAACCGACTGTCTAGAACAAATTACTAAGTTATAATTTGTAAACCGTTTTGCACACTTAATTTTTAAATGTAGCAGAATAAATTTGCGGTTTGGGCTGATATTGAATTGTAAAAGTAACTACAAAACTTGCTTTAAAAAAATGCAAAATGTTTAAATAGTAAGTTTCCTGAATATTGTAAAATTTATTACGTATTCTAACATTTGGCCATTGGGGTTTCAAAACAAAACAAAAGAATTAAACTACTGTTTAACGGCAGTACATTACTTAAATTTGCTAGTAATAGACAATTCTCCAAAAAATAATAGTGAAAGAATAGTATATTTCGTACCTAGGGCCGAAAATGAGGTTTTGCCAGCTCGAGATAGTTTTAAAGTTCGAGACGAAGTCGAGAACTTAAAACAATCGAGAGCTGCAAAACCATTTCGGTCCGTGGTACGAATGCTATTTTTCACCACACTATTCTCTATTACCACTATTCACCACAATAATAATGCACACTGATAGTCAACACAACTACAACTTTAAGGTTATGAGAAGAAACTATTTAAGGAATCAGCGAAAATATTAATAAATAGTTGCTAGGCAGCGGTGACAATAAAACAATTCTATTCCAATGGTATGGATACTGATTGTGTATTTAATATGCATTTATGTTTAGAGAAAGTAAGCGGCTAGCTGATTTTGCAGCCATAGAGATGTAAAAACCTGCTCGGTCCCCAAATAACGACGACTAAAAAAAATTATGTAAATGTAAATGTAATTATGTAATTATGTAAATGTTTATGTAAATGGCTAAAAACATCATAGTGTGGTGAACAAGACTTTCTTGTCTACATATACAGGTATATAGAGGTACAGTATATTAATTTGAATTTAAATTTACCAAACAAACACATTCATTTTTATTTAATTTGACTTTAAGTATTAAAGTCTTGACTTTAATTGACTTAATTTGACTTCTTCTTAAGCTATTACTTCTACCTCCAAGAAACCTACATTGAAGATTTAATACTTGTAAGATAGATGTGCAGGACAATCTACAATTAAATTCTTCCGTCATATTTAATCGACGTTCCACTTGGTGTACTCTTAAATATATGATCAAATTTTTATCAAGTTTTTATCTCATAGTTAATATTTACAATTTTCGTAATGAAACTTAAATTTCATTATAATGCTTAATTTATAATAAACATTATTATAATGTTTTTTTTCTATAACATTTTTATACAATTTTTTGTCACCAAAACAAAAGTAACCCAGCTAGGTAATATAATTGCTTACGTAGGCATTATTCAATAGGCAAAGGTAATGTCAAATTATATTAAGATAACTTTTACTAGTCATGTTCACAATTTAGCAATTTACGAGGGCCAGCTGATGTTAAGGTTAAAAATTAAATGATTAGTCAGTATACAACAACAACAGTTTTATTGTTAAAATGGAGTTTAGTGTTGTTTACCAATTTCTTTGGTTTCAATGCAAGATTACTAGTTAACATTATTAGTTAACATATTAAATGTTTAAGGGAGATAGTTATTTCTGTGGCAAATATACCGGTAAACTAGAAGAATTAAACAGAAAAACGATGTTTCTACATTCATCGAGGTAACTAAACATCAAACTACGGAAAACAAAACTGGTAGTGGTCTTACAAATGAAACCCCTGACTACGATCCTACGGTTCGACATTACATGTAGCCTAATATATTAACAGACAGTTTAGTACTTACAACGAGCAGCCAGAAAATAGCCAACATCTCGTATTTTAGCTTCAGAAACAACTCTGAACCATCTATCACTTGCTACCTTTTATATCAACCCACCAAAGACTGACAATCTGTCGACTGTCACAACCTATCACTGTCACCTCTGTCATTCTTTCCTTCGCTCAAACAGTTTCACAAACACCAGTTGGCAAGAGATTATCTGCGATATTGTATGCGTTTTCAACCAGCATTTTACATTACATTTCCGTATTTCTTTATCCTCAATAACAAATTAGTGGAACAGCCGAGTGTTTATGATGCGAATCATAAACTCTAGCATCTAGTGAGACAATGATTCAAGGTTTTCTGTCCAAAGGGCCGCTTTCCCCAAACTTCGTTTCCAGTTAACTTTAAACAAAAGTTTAAACCAGGGATGGCTTTCCCCACTTTTTGTTGTGTAGGGTTAGTTTAACCTGACTTATCTTCGTAAGCAAGCTGAACTGGCACTACTGATATTTTTATACCATTTCGTCTGCAATATTAGCTCCACTTTGATATTTATTATTTTTAAATCCCTTCGGTTTTTATTGTTATTTATTTAGGCGTTCTGTCACTGTAACTAACTGTAGACACTTAAATTCACATATATAGGCCTTTGGACATTTTACAATTGCCTCAAGTTAAAACCTGTAACACAAGAACCCTCAAGCCTCAAGTGTAACACAACATCGCTGCAATAAACTGTGGGAAAATAATGTTAGGACAAGAAAAATTAATTATTCTTTTAAGAAGCAAAAGTAAATATAACTTGTGTATTAAAATCTTAGATCCTATCAGTAGATGTATAATGCCGATTGATCGCCATGAGGAAGTATGAGGGGTATGATGGCTGATGTAACATGAGGTCAATCAGGGTTATCAGGCGGAGAGCGTATCAGTTGGAGAGTATCAGTTGGAGAGTATCAGTTGGACGAGAGTATCAGTTGGTCGTGAGTATCAGTTGGACGAGAGTTTTGGTTGGACGAGAGTATCGGTTGGACAATAGTTTTGGTTGGGCGAGAGTAACAGTTGGACGAGAGTATCAGTTGGACGAGAGTATCAGTTGGTCGAGAGTATCAGTTGGACGAGAGTTTTGGTTGGACGAGAGTATCAGTTGGACGAGAGTTTTGGTTGGACGAGAGTATCAGTTGGACGAGAGTATCATTTGGACGAGGGTATCAGTTGGACGAGAGTATCGTCAGTGATAGTTAGCTTAGATTAAATACAAACAATGAACGAAATGGGAAACGCTGCACCGACTGATCCTAGTCGCAAGTGTTGCCAACGTACGTTTCAAGCGTACACGGATTACGTGCATGATAAAATAAAATCATGTGATGATAATATACTTGACGTCAATCGGAGTTGCCGGGTGGAGAGGGTTGCTGATTGACCACCATGAGCTATAATACCCCCCCCCCCCCCCGCCACAGCATACCTGAAGACTAAGCAAATTTTGCATGGCTATAGTGCATTAGACTATTTCTGGCAACCAAGATAAAATTGGTTATTCATTTTGTAGTAATCATTATGAATGATCAAACGATATTAATTTGATTATTCATAATGATTCTGGACTAATATGTGTTAGGGTCTAAGACTCTTTTTTGCTTTCCTTTTTTATTCATCTTGCAAATATTTATGGTAATCAATAAACCAAGGTCCATGTTAAATGTCTAATGATTACATTCGCGTAGTAATTTAATCATTTTAAAACACAAGCCACTCCAATTTTTACCATTTCAGATTTATATCTTCCAATAGATGGTTACCATGACTGAGCTAAATTTTGAGCGGATCGCTTTAGCCATTCAGAAGTTATTTGTAAAACAACGCGTAGTATAAGAGCTTTGCTTCCTTCGCTCAATAACATTGATTTCAAAGAGTACATAAGTTTATTGCAACAGAAAAGATAATGGGGTATTTTTTTATTGAACATTCAATGGTATATTTGGTACATGTGAATGGAATGTAATTTTGTAGTAAATATGCTCAATGAAGATGTAACTTGAACTCGTCAGATTATAATAAAACCATATGATAATAATATACATGACGTCAATCAGCGTTATCAGGTGAAGAGGTTATCAGTTAGACGGGAGTATCGTCAGTAATAGTTTTGTGCTTCTACTGGTAAGTATATACTAGAGTTAGCTTCTTTCATATTCCAAGTTCTAAATTAGATTATTGCTAGTATCAGCTAAGTTCAATTTTACACTATTAATAGTATCCAATAGTTGATGGTCCTATTTTACGGACTTTGTGAGTAACACATTATACGGAAATTATATTTCTCCTTCAGTTTTTATAAATCATATAAATAATATTAGTCTTTCAAACACTGTACTACACGTTTTTTTTTTTTTTTTTTAGTTTAGGTTAAATATAAACATTGAAGGAAATGGGAAACCCTGTACTGGCTGATTATAGTACTCGTAATATCTTCAAGTGTTGCCAACTTATTTTCAAGCGTACACATCGTGCATAATAAAAGCTCTCTTTTTTGTGTTGTTAGTTTGAATACTGGTGTGCGCCAATTAAAAAAAAAATAAAATAAACTGTGCGCCAAATTAAGGCTGTATGTACTACAATCTGTGCAAGGAAGCCTACTTTTTTCGGGTGAATGTAGGAAGAATTTATTTGGCAGTTAGTTTTGCTTTTTTTATATTTTATAAAACTTTGTGGGTTTGTTATTTGTTACCATGGATATCATAAATAAATTTACCTTTACATATCTCACCTGAGCTTTTTGAAAGCCTACAGGGCAGAGTCTTAGAGTAATATCGAAGCGGGAATAGTTCAAATCAAAACATATGTTGACTACTTTTTACTATAAACTAAAAATTATTACAATTGTTCCAAACTTGCCTGTATTGTAATTGTATTCCTGTTTTCATTAAATATATCTAGGAAAATACTCTCATAAGCATAGTTCAAAATTTAGAATTACAGTATAGCCAAGGTTGATATGGCAACGGTTATAGAATTATTCTTATCTCCTACATCAATGAATATTTTCTTTTATTATTGACTTACCTTATTTAATGTGTTTGAATCAGCTGCGAGGAATTATAAGATAAAATACATTTGAAAGTTATGCTTGTTGACATTTAGACATCTCGAGTCTGCTCTTTGTTGCTTTGGGAAGTAATCAATATTGCCTTTTAAATCTCACCACTGTCACCTTGAATCCATTCGGCGTGGTAGAAATGGCATCACTGAAAGTGGTGCTGTTTAGTGCCAGATGTTTCATCAGCTAACATGACAGACAGGGGATGCCCTCTTATAAGATTGAAAATAAATAATACAGTGTTCTAAATTAAAATAAAATTAATTGAAAATATATTTCTATATATATAAAATTGAGTCGTTACTTTCAAAGCCCACTAACCAAGCGTTCGTATTCTTAACAAATACACAAATATTTTTAGAAATAGTTTTAAGTCTGGAAGCTTAGGGAAGTTTCAACCACGCTATGTATGGTCTTACCAAACGTTGCCACTAATGTAAATAATGAAAGATTTCAAGCAAGCATATTTGATAGTGTTGTGTAATCTATCTATACAATAATGGTCTGATAAGAATGAACTCTGTGTTTATATTGATAAGTATAAGTTTTTGTGTACAGTTACCACAACTACGGATGAAGTGATCTGTTGATTTCCTGAGTTTTTTTTTTTATAAATGTGTGTGTGTGAGTGTGTTTGTGTGTGTTTTTTATAGCAAATAACTTAATTAAAGCGTATTAATTATTCATAGGCTGGTAGGACAGGACAGATGACATGTGGAACGCTATTATTTAATATAAACTATGGTACCTCCAGCAAAATACACACATGTTATCATACGAGAGTAATAGCGTTGGTTGTAATAATAATTGTTAGGCCCTGTATTCAAAAGGCCCTCAAAAGGCCAGTATTCATTAAATCATGGGCTATTTCCAAATATTAGTCTAATGCGCGAGCAGCCTTGCCGCTTTCTGCATACAATTTGAGAAAAAACTTTTGAACAAAACATTTTTCAGTCTAATACCTGTCACCTTTAATATTGAAGCAAGTGAATGATGTTTTCTTTAAAAATAAAACTAGAGTTTTCATGGTATCTTTTTAAATTTACTTATGTTTTTATAATGATAAAACAAGATTCTTAATAATGATTTAGCCTATTGTGTAAAAATAATTTATATCATCATTAAAATAAAGCTCATGTGGACAAAAAAAAATGGTATTTATCAAATAATTTTAGATGAACCTTATTTAACGGCGAAACGTATAAATAAGTGCGTGTATGCTGTCACATTAGCTACCTCCAAACAAAATGGCACTACTGACAGTGATACCACTTCGAATGTCGTGGTCTGGATTTAACTGGTATCGCGGTCTGTCTGGTGGTTGTATCAAAACTTTAAAAGCCCACGGCGCAGAATTCTAGTTCAGTATCGTGGCGGGAATGGTACTGTAAGTATCATCGGAGCTGAGCTTTATTAGTTATTAATTTGAGCCTAGTCTGATCAGTAACCTTTGCGTTTAGCGCGTACGAACGCACGCACAGACACACAGACACCGCCTCTTTTTTATAATAGTATAGATCGATTGTAAAAAATATACTATATATATATATTTTGTTAATGCCTTTTTAATTTTATATTATAGATATATGAAATGGAGTCAATTAAGATCCTATGCTGTTTCTGTAAGAAGATCATTTCCAAATCAAATATATCCTATCATGAAAAAATATGTCGAAACAATCCGAAAAGAGCTAACACTCGATATAAAATGAAGGTGTGTGATGGTTGTAATAAATCAATCACGAGTCAACATTTCAAACGGCATTTGGAAACATGCATGAAACAGAAACAAACTTCAGATTTATCAAGACCTAGTACAAGTGGAATTGATGGTGTAAAACAAAAACGACCTTTATCTGGTGATGCTTCATCTGATGAAGCTAATATTAACATTCAAACTCCTAGAAAAAAGGCCAGTATTGACTATAAACGTAAATGTCCCCAGTGTGATAAATTGATAAGGAAATCAAACATGAGTTATCATTTAAAAATTCACACAGACACTAAACTAGTTACAAAGCGTGG